GAGCAGAGTTATATAATCTCACCAACCTCTGTAACTTTCTTTGACTGCCGATTATAAGGGTTGTCGTCAGTTGTAAACATTTCCATCTGAGATGGGCTTAAGCCATAAAGGAACTGAGGAACATTCTTGTAATTATCCATCACTGCAAGAAGGTTAAAAAAAGCCTTAAAGCCGCACACAAAATAACTGGTACAGTAAGCGTTAGGGATAAGGTACAATTGCTTATCGCCTCAACAGAAAAAGCTACAGCTATGGTTTGTAAGCATGCATAGATGTGTCATATGGGGACAGTTTATATCAACCGTTTGATGAGACAAGACCACCTAGGAATATAAAGCATGGACATAATAGTATGTCTGGCACTTATGCATAGTCAACTTGCAAACGTCTACCATTTCTCCCCTGTGATTTTCTTTAGAAAAAACCATCTACTGCTTCTTAACAACCACCAGGCAGTAAAATTGCCCTATGGATATATATTTTCCTACCAGTTGGTAAGACAAAGTGAAGATAACATATTGCACGGTAGTAAACTTCTGAACTTCCACAAACATTTGGATGTACAGACCATCCATAACGCATTGCCCCTGATCAATAGCCTCAACTCCTAGTCATAGTTAAGTCAGTTGCATCCAACAAGCTAACACTTTGGAAGGGACGTGTGGGCAATTGCATTATCAACATTCTGTTACCGCCAATTGGTCTACAAAAGACCTACGGTAGTTCATATCAGCTAGGAGAAGTACCTCATTCTCGGCGCCCTTGTACAGAAAGGTTTATTTGAACCCACTTCTTATTTACATACATGGTTTTGTGCAGTTGAACCGACCGGTTCATGTCCATGTGTGGCCGTTGAAATTGGGCAGTGAAATGCAGCAGTGAATTGACTGAATCTACGAACCAGTAACTTAACCTGAAGCAATCATAATCTGTACAGATATTTTTTTTCTGTTTCATGGTTGCATACCATTGGAGCTCTGAATCTGATTATTATGAGTTCCAGCAGAACTTAAGATGGACAGCACATAGTTTATTCACAAAACTAAATACTACTTCTAAAGTATATTTCAGCAGCTGACAAGAATGAGCTGCTGCTTGAAGGTTGAAGCCATGGCAGGATAAATCCACTGCATAGTTAAATGCAGTACTATATAAATCTATGACCCAGTAACTTAACTTCAAACAATCAAAATCTGTGGCGATAATATTTTGTTCTGTTTCATGGCTGCATACCAGTGAAGGTCTGATTAGGATTGTTCTATCACAAATGCAACAAAGGAACGATTCTTAAGACAAAACGCGTGCAGTTTATCCACACAATTACATGCTACTCCTAGAGCAAATTACAGCAGCTGACAGGAATGGCTGATGCTGCTTGGTGACGGATAGGAAGTCTAGTAAACTACCTGAATCTACAACCCAGCAACTTAACTTCAAACAATCATAGTTTGTACAGATATATTTTTGTTCTATTCTCATGGTTGCATACAAGTGGGCAGTGGAGGTCTGATTTTAGAAAAATACCAGTGGAGATCTGATTATGATGAGTTCTAGCAGAAATGCAACCGAGGAACACTTTTAAGACGAAAACACATCACTCAACTTAGTATTGTACTTTGACAGACAGGAATGCTGCTGCTGCTTGAAGCCATGGATAGAAAGGCTAGTTACATGATAAGCTAGCTAGCAAAGCAAGATGTTGTAACATGGATATAGCATGTCTGGCACTTATGCATAGTCAACTTGCAAACGTCTACCATTTCTCCCCTACGGAAAAAAGCGTCTACTGCTTAATAACCACCAGGCAGTAAAATTGCGATATGGATATATATTTCCCTACCATTTGGTAAGACAAAGTGAAGATAATGTATTGTGTAGTACTAAACTTCTGAACTTTCACAAACATTTGGACCATCCATAGCTCGTTGGCGTCAATAGCCTCGGCTCCTACTCAAAGTTAAATCAGCTATATTCAAAATGATTTACCAACGACCTATGTACTAGTTCATATCAGATAGGAGAAGAATCTCCTTTTCGATGCCGGAAAAGTTTTTTTGAACCCATTGCTTATTTACATACATGGTTTTCTGCAGTTGTACCGACCGGTTCGTGCCCAAGTGCGAGCATTGAAATTGGGCAGTGAAATGCAGCAGTGAACTGTCTGAATCTACGAACCAGTAACTTATCTTCACAGTCATAACCTGTACAAATGATATTTTTGTTCTGTTTTATGGTTGCATACCATTGGAGGTCTGAATCTGATTATGATGAGTTCCAATAGAATTAAGACGGACATCACATAACTAAATACTACTCCTAGAGTATATTTCAGCAGCTGACAGGAGTGAGCTGCTGCTCGGAGGTTGAAGCCATGGCAGGCAGGATAAGTCCACTAAGTATATGATAAGTCAGCTAGCAAGATGCTCTAATGAATCTTTGCGGGGGGAAGAAGGGGGAGGGAGCTCACGGCCATCCTTTAGGTTCTCCTCGCGGAACTGCTTGGGGATGTGGTCGTAGCTCCTTGGGGGGCCGTCGCCGTGGTAGTAGTGGCACCTGCAGCCCCCCGCCGGCCTCCTCGCGGGCCTCGCAGCCGACTGGGAGTGGGAGGAGGCGTTGGGGAAGGGGCCCCTGGCCGGCGACGGCGAGGCGGCGGCGGGGCAGCGCAGCGCGAGCGCCATGGGACGACGGCGTGGCTCGCTCGCTGCTGGTGCCGGGGATTCGGATAACTGGAGTGGGTGTGCCGTCTGATGCGGTAATTTGGGGGATCGTTTTGTTGTGGATGCCGGATGATCCCTCGGGCCGAGCCCATGGTAAGGCCCGGCCCAAAACCAGGTCCAGTGTGCGACTCGTTGTTTGCTTCTTTTTCTTTCTTTCAATTTTTGGAGTTTATCTCTTCTTTGCTTGGTCAGGGTCGCCATTTGTGGCTAATTTCTCCGCATGACCCCTCTTGCATTCCCATGAACGTCCACATTGATCAATAAAGGGTTGGCAATTCTGAAGAAAAAAAATCAGTCTTTTCCCCTATAAAAAGACCATCATTATTTTTCGATAAGAAGTACTACAAGTTTTTTTTGAGAAACCGAGTTTTTTTCTACGATAAATAGTTCCAGTTCAATATTATTTTTTGATAAGAATGCCCAACCCAGCCTAACACATTGGGCGACACCACTTTATCCCAGGGCTTCGGAATGTGCTTGGCTTTAGACCTCAAGAAGAAAAAGGTGCTCCGCTTCATTTTACAATAAGTTGTAGCCATATAAAGTTAATTCTTATAATCCAACATAATGATTTTTTGGGTCTGACCAATCCAGTCGTCAAACCAAACATACGCTGGTGGGAGCGCCTGTTCCCGCCTTCCACGGCTGGTTGCGGTGTCGTGCAAGCATCCCCGCCTTGTCGTACCCTGAAATGCTAGCCAGGCCACCCCCTACTGCCCCCACATCCTATTCCTCTCCGGCGACGACAGCCCACCCCGCACCAGAACCGGTGAACCCTCGTACTCCCCTTCGCCTCTGGCCACACTGCCGCATCTTCCTCGGCTCCTGTTCATTCCCGTCCGAGGCCTCGCCGCCGTCCTCCGCCTTGGTGTGCTCGCAATGGCGCCGCCATCCGGCCTTGTCAACATGGTGAATCGAGATAGGACTGTAGTTGTGAGTATGATAGTAGGGACCCACCAAGTCCACTCCAGAACACAAGCAAGTGCCTCTTTACCACTCATATGCACCCCTCGATTTTTTTACTCTGATCCACCCTGGTGATATCTAGGACCCACATCATTGTCAACGTATAGTCAATTAACAACATAATTGCACAAGGAGGGGCTAATACCTGGGATCTAGCAACTCCAGTAGTTTTTTGGTGTTGTTCAGACAGAGCATTTTGTTTTTGAGGATTTTTTAGACGAAACCGGGTATAAACTGGGTTGTGCGGTGTCTGTATCCCTTATAACAACATGACCAGCCCAGTAGTTTTTTCTTTGGGAAAATAGAAAGCCCACCATTTCTTTTAGAAGAATACCCAACCTGGGCCTTTGTTTTCTCCGACTTACTAGGCTGCAAATCTTTCAAAGCAAGGAGGGATGCATTTGGCCTGACCAGAATATGGGCAGTAAATCTTAAAAGTAATATGAAATTGGCCTGCAAATTCCAACAAAAAATAGCAAATGGGCAATTAGTTTTTGTTAATGTTATTCACTGAGATTTTATATTTCATTGGATTTTAACATAATATTAATTTATTTTTATATTAGTTTTAATATGGCTCCTAATTACGAGATTAAAATATTTTGTTCCCCAACAAAAATATGCGAAATTTTCAAATTTTTAATCCTGGTCCTAACCAGAAAATGGGCAGCAATTCTAAAAATAAAAAATAAGCTACAATAAATTCCATATGAATTAGCAAATGGGTTGTAAATTATAAAAATAATAGCAAATGGGTTGTACATGCCATAGTTTTCGAGGCTGATTTTTTTGCGCAAGGCTTTGTCGAGTTATAGTCGACACACGATTCTACCAGCAGTGACTATTGGATGTCTATCCAACGACCATCGTGTTTTTTCAATCTCTAATCTTCTTGGTCCAGCTGGCTAAACTAGTGCCAGTGGCACTGCCTGCTCCCTCCTTCCATGGCCGCTGTGATGTCGCATAGGATTCACGGGCTCACCCTACTCCCTCAGCTAGCCAGGCCATCCCGCTACCCACCCGCACCTCCTGTTATTCTCCGGTGACGGTAGCCTGACGCCAAAGCCGAACCAGTCAATCGTCATATTCCCCTCAGCGTGGGCATCCACTGCTGTGTCTTCGTCGACTCCTGGTTGTTCCATTCCTAGGCCTTGCCATCGTCCACCACATTGGTTCTCTAGGCACGGCGTGCTCAACATGGTCAACAAACAACAACCATCGGAACAGGGATGTACCTAGAGAGGTTGACAGTAGGGATCCCGATGGTGCATGGCCGCACGCAAGCAACTACCTCCTTATTACGCGAAAAATGATTCCTCCCTGACATCTAGGGCCCACCAGCTATATCTTCGCACAGAAGGAATTGCCTCCTTATTACGCAGAAAAAACGATTCCTCCCCATGACACTTGGACTCACCGGATTCGGAGACTGACCTGTGGGCCTACTAAGTGGATGCGTATGGAGGGGTTTGACAACTTAGTCAACAAACGATTCTAGCAACATTGATGATTGGATGTTAATCGAACAGCCGTCTTGTTTCTTCAATCGCTGATCTTCTTGCAGCAACCACCCAAACCAGTGCCGACGGACCGCCTGCTCTTGCCTCCCATGGCCGGTCATGCTGCCGCGCAGGCCTCACCGCCCACCCTACTCCCACCGATGGCCAAGCCTTCCCTCTACTCACCCACATGCCCTGTTATTCTCTGATGATGGCAGTCTCAAACCGCAGCCGAACCAGTCAACCCTCATACTCCCCTTCATGTGGGCATCCACTACCGCGTTTCCCTCAGCTCCGGGTCATTCCCTTCCTAGGTCGCACCGCCGTCCACCACCTTGGTGCTCTCGGTACGGCGTCGTCAATGCGGTCAATGAACGATAGCCATCAGAAGAGGACTGTACGTGGAGAGACTGATAGCTATGTCCACGGCCGCACGCAAGGAAGTGCCTCCTTATTACGCGCAAAACAATGATTTCTGCACCTGACAGCTCGGACCTAAAGGAAATATGCCCTAGAGGCAATAATAATGTTATTATTTTATTTCCTTATATCATGATAAATGTTTATTATTCATGCTAGAATTGTATTATCCGGAAACATAATACTTGTGTGAATACATAGACAAACTAAACGTCACTAGTATGCCTCTACTTGACTAGCTCGTTAATCAAAGATGGTTATGTTTCCTAACCATAGACATGTGTTGTCATTTGATTAACGGGATCACATTATTAGGAGAATGATGTGATTGACATGACCCATTCCATTAGCTTAGCACCCGATCGTTTAGTTATGTTGCTATTGCTTTCTTCATGACTTCTACATGTTCCTATGACTATGAGATTATGCAACTCCCGTTTGCCGGAGGAACACTTTGTGTGCTACCAAACGTCACAACGTAACTGGGTGATTATAAAGGAGCTCTACAGGTGTCTCCAAAGGTAAATGTTGGGTTGGCGTATTTCGAGATTAGGATTTGTCACTCCGATTGTCGGAGAGGTATCTCTGGGCCCTCTCGGTAATGCACATCACATAAGCCTTGCAAGCATTGCAACTAATGAGTTAGTTACGAGATGATGTATTACGAAACGAGTAAAGAGACTTGCCGGTAACGAGATTGAACTAGGTATTGAGATACCGACGATCGAATCTCGGTCAAGTAACATACCGATGACAAAGGGAACAGCGTATGTTGTTATGCGGTCTGACCGATAAAGATATTCGTAGAATATGTGGGAGCCAATATGAGCATCCAGGTTCCGCTATTGGTTATTGACCGGAGACATGTCTCGGTCATGTCTACATTGTTCTCGAACCCGTAGGGTCTGCATGCTTAAGGTTTCGATGACAGTTATATTATGAGTTTATGAGTTTTGATGTACCGAAGTTAATTCGGAGTCCTGGATGTGATCACAGACATAACGAGGAGTCTCAAAATGGTCGAGACATAAAGATTGATCTATTGGACGACTATATTCGGACACCGGAAGTGTTCCGGGTGATTTCGGAGAAAACCGGAGTACCGGAGGGTCACCGGAACCCCCCCCCCCCGGGAGAAGTAATGGGCCATATGGGCCTTAGTGGAGAGAGAGAAGGGCAGCCAGGGTGGGCCGCGCGCCTCCTCCCCCTTTGGTCCAAATTGGACTAGGAGAGGGGGGCGGCGCCCCCCTTTCCTTCTCCCTCCCACTTCCTTTCCCCCTCCTAGTAGGAGTCCTACTCCTACTAGGAGGAGGACTCCTCCTTGGCGCGCCAATAGGGCCGGCCGGCCTCCTCCCCTTGCTCCTTTATATACGGGGGCAGGGGGCACCCCTAGAGACACAAGTTGATCCACGTGATCGTTTTCTTAGCCGTGTGCGGTGCCCCCTTCCACCATAATCCTCAATAATATTGTAGCGTTTCTTAGGCGAAGCCCTGCGACGGTAGAACATCAAGATCGTCACCACGCCGTCGTGCTGACGGAACTCTTCCCGGACAGTTTGCTGGATTGGAGTCCGGGGATCGTCATCGAGCTGAATGTGTGCTAAAACTCGGAGGTGCCGTAGTTTCGGTGCTTGATCGGTCGGGCCATGAAGACGTACAACTACATCATCCGCGTTGTGCTAACGCTTCCGCTATCGGTCTACAAGGGTACGTAGATCACACTCTTCCCTCTCGTTGCTATGCATCACCATGATCTTGCGTGTGCGTAGGAATTTTTTTGAAATTACTACGTTTCCCAACAGTGGTATCAGAGCCTAGGTTTTATGTGTTGATGTTATATGCACGAGTAGAACACAAGTGAGTTGTGGGCGATATAAGTCATACTGCTTACCAGCATGTCATACTTTGGTTCGGCGGTATTGTTGGATGAAGCGGCCCGGACCGACATTACGCGTACGCTTACGCGAGACTGGTTCTCCCGACGTGCTTTGCACAAAAGTGGCTAGCGGGTGACAATTTCTCCAACTTTAGTTGAACCGAGTATGGCTATGCCCAGTCCTTGCAAAGGTTAAAACAACACCAACTTGACAAACTATCGTTGTGGTTTTTGATGCGTAGGTAAGATTGGTTCTTACTTAAGCCCGTAGAAGCCATGTAAAACTTGCAACAACAAAGTAGAGGACGTCTAACTTGTTTTTGCAGGGCATGTTGTGATGTGATATGGTCAAGACATGATAAATTTTATTGTATGAGATGATCATGTTTTGTAACCAAGTTATCGGCAACTGACAGGAGCCATATGGTTGTCGCTTTATT